GTATTCACAACTCAAAACTAAATGCCCAAGTTACTAAACATTTCTAAACATTTAATACCAATAGTGGTTCATTTTTATGTATTACAAATTTGAAGATTATTCTTTCAATGGACTGACGTTAGAAATCTAATATTATAAAAAATAGATCACTGCATCTTTATAAAAATGTTAATAAAAATTATACAGCCAGCATTATAAAAGCAAATGAATGAATTACATGCGAAATACTCATATAAGTGCAAGCTAGAAAGGTCAGTGCCATCTCATTGATGAAAATATTCATGCACCTTCTATCACACTGATTCTGCATGCACAGGAAAACTGTACTAATGGAGAGGCATTCTAGTCCAATATAATACATACATATAGTTCCAAAATACAATGTCTCAAATAATTCATACAAAGCATTCAGAGAATCCCACTTCTGTCCCCACCCTACCCAAATAGTTCAACATCTCATTACCTTCTTCCATTGGACTACAACTAAGATTAGCAAAAACAAAAACAAAAAACACAAAACTCAAATTCCACTGAAGAATTTTTTAGAGTTGATTTTTTTAGGGTAAGATAAAACAGTGACAAGCATGGAGAAGTGAAAACATCTTGCTATACATCTGCTAAAGATAACACTTCAGTGAGTAATAACTATTTGTTTTAAGTAAATGCTGTGCCTCGAAAAAACTCACTCATAGTGAACTAGAGAAAAAACATTAAAAAGAGGCAGTACAAAAATAGTTAAGTCTTTCATAATTATTTTAAGTACTTAGGGGATTCTTTTACTTAGTTTTAAAGCAGTCATATTATTGGGAAATTTAACTTATAGATTAACAATTAGGAGCTTATGAAACCCTGTTGTTAAATAAAAATTATAACAAAACACCTAGGCTAAGCCAATGAGACTGAATAATAAAATTTTAGTGAAAAAATACTTGTTAATTCAGTATATTCTAGTTTATAATCTTAGAAACTTGCAAAGCCTTCCTGACTCAACCTATAATGTGGACATAAAATTTAAAAACAAAAACAAAACACACACACACACACAAAAAAAAAAACCCACCTTTCCACTTATACACTATTGTATGTAGCAAACAAGAAATTTTCGTATTTGAACAGCACACAGAAATTCAAAAATTTACTGTACCTTGAGTCTTTATCACTACAATTTTGAGTTATTCTCTGAAGACTACACCTATAATTATAGGTGGTCAATATACAAAAAACTAAAGTATATGCTTCAATTTGCTAACTTTACTTGAAACTAGGTTATGCAAACTGAAATTAACAGGTAGGACTGTCAAATCTGCAATCTATAATACTGTTCATAACATAGTTGTAATACTGACTTAAGAGAAAATAAAGTTTTCAAGTACTCGAATCATGAAGTTTCCTGAAAATTGTATTATGTCAGGAATCTTGTCAATTTACTGAATACACCTAGAAAAATGTGATCCAAATAATTAATCATTTTGCAGTCTTCTTAATGACTGCTAACAACTACTGTCAGCTACTTCAAGCAAGACAAACTGACACATTTGAGGAAATACTTTTTATATCAGAGAGGGAAAAACCTCACTTGAATGATATAAACTTTATTTAGGAAATTAGGACAGAAAATTTTAATTAATATAGTTGAACAGTTTTCTAAAAGACCTTTGTAGAGAGATTAAAGCTGTGAATACTTCTAACTACAGTAGCAAAAAAGAGTGGAGTGAAAAAGCAAAGAGAATGAAAAAAGGATAAGCTTAAGGAAAAAACACAAATATTACTTGCAAGATAACCTCAAATCTAGAAAACAAAGGTAAACTTAGGCAGTGCAAAGAATAGGTTGGTGAATGCATATGTGCACAAACAACATCCTAAAACTTGCCTGTTAAGTAACAGTTGATTTGATATTGCTTATAAGAATTACGTAAGAGCAAAGGGGAAGAAGCAGCATAATCTTCTACATTTTAATCCTGTTTTTAAAAAATCTAGGGGGGAAAATACCGAGAAATAAGGTTGAATAAATTATGGGAAYGGTTTTTTGTCTAAAAGAAAGCACAAACATGCACAAAAAAGTTGACTCCTAACAACTCAAAACTACAAAAACATAATATTTCTGTTATGATAATTCTGATTACCAAAGTAGAGGAATTATACAAATCATCTAACTGTAGCATAAATTTGTAACTAACTTCATTTCGTGCAAATATTCAACACTTTACCCACAGTATTTAAAAACATAGATTCAGGTAGCAATGGTATTTTGTAGTCCTATTAATTTCCAGAGATCACAGTTTCAAAGAGTAAGTTTCAAACATCCTTAAAAATGTCTAGTGTCTATGAGGGGGATAAAAAAAAAGTTGGTGCCTTAAATTTTTAATGAGAAGAACTTAAAAACATCAATCTCAGACTACCTCATGTAAATAACAGATAAAAAAAGAATTAAGGGCTGGGATTGTAGTTCAGGGTTAGAGGGCTTGCCTATCACACCTGAGGCACTGGGTTTGATCCTTGGCACCACACAAAAATAAGTAAAATAAAGGTATTGTGTCCATTTATAACTTAAAAAAAAAAAARKTTYYTTTTWAAA